TATCCATTAATCCCATACATGCAAATATGGAACTTATTTTTGTTCAGGTTACCGGCCTTGAATCAGAAGCTGTAACTCTGTGGTCTGCAGTAGAGACTGACATTTTTTCGGGAATCCTACGGGTCAAGGGATTCCCGTGGGATTCCCGTGGGATGGGAGTCAGTATTAGTAACGATCACGTGATTGTTACGGTACAGGATTAAACATTAACGGGAGCAGACGGGAGCGGGAGCAAACCAATAGTAACTAAAAAAAAAAAAACTAGGATCGATGTCATAAAATAAAATAGAAAGAAAAAAAATTCAGTACTGGCGCCGCCATTTTGTAGTTTTTTTCCTTGAAGCCTACACTATAATGCGGGTCAAAAAAAACTACACGACCCAAAAACCAACAGTGCTTCCGCTCTGAGTTTTTCATCTGCGCTCAAAACAAATTCAGATTCAGTGTATTGGCAGAAATCTTATTGAAGACAACAAGAATGGGAGTGGTGCAAGAGTGGGAGTCATTCTGAATGGGAGCGAGATGGGAGCTGGAGTAATTTCACCAGAAGTGGGACGGGACAGGATTTAGATTTCTACTCTGCCCGGGATCGGGACGGGACACAATTTTTTTCTGTGGGAGTGGGACGGGACAGGAGTGAAAATCCACTCCCGTGTCAGTCTCTAGTCTGCAGTGATGCCAGAGATGCTAGCTTGCCTCGCTATGATGTGGAGGTCATTACTTTTTCACCTCTAAATGCAGACATGTGTTCAAAGTGTCAGTTGTCACATGAAAAAGTTGTGATATTCACATGGCAATCAACATCTCACATTCAAAAGCAACCACAGCCAGCACATGGTGGACTTACATCCAGAAACACACACCTGACAGGCAAAGATCAAAACCGATTATAGCAATAACACAAGATGCAGGAAACTTAGAGAGGCACCAAAATTTCAAGGCTAACAATGTTCTTTCTTTGACAAATTATTCTTAGCAAAGACACAATACTGCACACTTAAATATTAAATCTTAAAAATAAACTAACCTCTCTATTTTTTTAACATCTATTATATTTTCTTTCTATAATAAAAAAAGATACTCACACAGACATAAAGTATACAATATATCTCAGAAAAAAGCTCTGAACACTAAGGTCTCCGTGTAATTCCAAAAGTCAAAACAATATACATAATACTTGTTCATTAAATAGAGTTAAAAAATGAACTTTTTTTGTGTTAGTATAAACATGCACAGAAATTAAAATCGATACCATTACTAGCAACATGTTAGAATATAATATAAAAATAGAGTCATTAGAGTTTTTTTCAAGCTCACAGACGTATGTTGTCAGATGCAATTCAGCTTTTGTTTATTCACAGATTATTCAACAGCATTTAATTCAGTAAAAAAAAAAGGTTTAATCGAAACAAATGAGCTCAATATAGAAAATCATAGAACATTTTATGGAAATACTGCGTCAAAGAAACAAGATTTCCTCAGTTATCATAGATGAGGACCTTAGTTGGAAATCACATGTAATAGGCTCTATGCACAGCTCCACTACTTCCTGAATTTAAGGTAGCTCCTTTGTTTCCTGTCTTTCATTACTGGACGAACTGATTAATCCAGGTGTGTCTGGCCAGTTACTTAGGTCATACACACTTGAAATAATCAGCGCATCCAATCATGAAAGACAGGAAGCAAAGGAGCCTCCTGAAGTTCAGGAAGTAGTGGAGTTGTGCATAGAGCCTATTTATACAAAATGAAAAACGGCTAAATACATAGCCGTGTTACAAAAGTTAAAATCCATCCAAGCCACTCAGCTTTTCCCAGTACAGCACAGGGATCCTGTCATACTTCACCTACTGTGTGCAGGCTTTGAGATTTACAGGCTTAACTTATATTCAGTCTTTATTTCTATTTCAAAAAAAGTTCCCAGAAAACGATTACTAATAAGACTCATAAAGATCATTTAAAACATTTTGCTTGATTGTAAATTAAGTGTTATTAAAATTTTACGGTAAGTAGATCATAACATTCTCCAGGTTTTGTATAAAGCTAATATTGCCCGTTTGGAAATTGTAGTTATTTTCAAATAAACAAATAATTCGGAAGTGAAACATATTCGATTTACCAATATTATGTAATTTACCCATTTCCCTACACTTATGACACAGAGAAAAACCAACTAACATTGTTTCTCCGCTTCCTGCCCCCACCAGCATGACCAACCCCTCCCCTCTGGGATCAAAATAAACACGGTGGAAATCATCATCAGGCTCGGCCCAGTACCATCGGACTGGTACTGAGGTGTTAAACATTGCAAACATTGTATGGTTTTGATGTTAAGATGATGTTTTCAGACTGTAAACCAGAGAAGGAGCTTTCTAGAACATCCTGGACCCCCTGTGGATCCTCCCTCAAAAACTCTTGTTCCAAACATAAAAATGTCTTCAGCCGTGAACCGCTCCAGAGACTCTATATACACTATATTGCCAAAAGTATTTGCTCACCTGCCTTGACTCACATATGAGCTTAAGTGACATCCCGTTCCTAATCCATAGGGTTCAATATGACGTCGGTCCACCCTTTGCAGCTAGAACAGCTTCAACTCTTCTGGGAAGGCTGTCCACAAGGTTTAGGAGTGTGTTTATGGGAATTTTTGACCATTCTTCCAGAAGCGCATTTGTGAGGTCGCACACTGATGTTGGACGAGAAGGCCTGGCTCTCAGTCTCCGCTCTAATTCATCCCAAAGGTGTTCTATCGGGTTGAGGTCAGGACTCTGTGCAGGCCAGTCAAGTTCATCCACACCAGACTCTGTCATCCATGTCTTTATGGACCTTGCTTTGTGCACTGGTGCACAGTCATGTTGGAAGAGGAAGGGGCCAGCTCCAAACTGTTCCCACAAAGTTGGGAGCATGGAATTGTCCAAAATGTCTTGGTATGCTGAAGCATTCAGAGTTCCTTTCACTGGAACTAAGGGGCCAAGCCCAGCTCCTGAAAAACAACCCCACACCATAATCCCCCCTCCACCAAACTTTACACTTGGCACAATGCAGTCAGACAAGTACCGTTCTCCTGGCAACCGCCAAACCCAGACCCGTCCATCAGATTGCCAGATGGAGAAGCGCGATTCGTCACTCCAGAGAACGCGTCTCCACTGCTCTAGAGTCCAGTGGCGGCGTGCTTTACACCACCGCATCCGACGCTTTGCATTGCACTTGGTGATGTATGGCTTGGATGCAGCTGCTCGACCATGGAAACCCATTCCATGAAGCTCTCTGCGCACTGTTCTTGAGCTAATCTGAAGGCCACATGAAGTTTGGAGGTCTGTAGTGATTGACTCTGCAGAAAGTTGGCGACCTCTTCGCACTATGCGCGTCAGCATCCGCTGACCCCGCTCCGTCAGTTTACGTGGCCTACCACTTCGTGGCTGAGTTGCTGTCGTTCCCAAACACTTCCATTTTCTTATAATACAGCTGACAGTTGACTGTGGAATATTTAGGAGCGAGGAAATTTCACGACTGGATTTGTTGCACAGGTGGCATCCTATCACAGTTCCACGCTGGAATTCACTGAGCTCCTGAGAGCGACCCATTCTTTCACAAATGTTTGTAAAAACAGTCTGCATGCCTAGGTGCTTGAATTTATACACCTGTGGCCATGGAAGTGATTGGAACACCTGATTCCAATAATTTGGATGGGTGAGCAAATACTTTTGGCAATATAGTGTATATATATATATATGGAAGGTTGACTAATTCAGGTTCCTGACTTCTCAATCTCTTAAAGCAGCAAAGTACAGTCAGCAACAACTTCCTTCTATGTAATTATTGCCACATGATTTCTGTGCATTACAGAGTCATGGCAGACTTCCTTCTTCATAGGAAGAGGGGCTTATGATAGGGAAGAACTCACCTTGATGCATGAAAAAACTTCATCATTATGTGTGTCAAAGGTTAGCAGATTCAGCAATGCATCTCTCCGTTATACATGCATCTATACCACAGCTTTATGCTAAATCTGAAGGCGGATGAGGAAGGAAAGAAATTATAACATCTCAAATTTATCTGCAGCATCAGGTGTGATAATAAAGCAACATTTAAAGTTGAGGAAAGGAGGTAAAATGATGCATGAAAAGTCCCTTAAAATACTTCCTGTTAAAATGTGTTGATAATCATGTCAGGTTGATTGGATGCTGAAGCAGGATTAAAATAAAGAAACAAGAAACATCCGTTGGAGGGATTTTAATAACATCATCAAGTTTTTAAAATTGTATTCACATATGCATACAATGTTGAAAAAAAACCCAAAAAACATTAAATATCAATCCATTATATATCAATACATCTATTTATGATTAAAATATAATAAAATACACAGGAGACATTTTAATAGATATCTGCTTTTATATAAACATTATATCAAATGTATAGGTTACATCCAGAGGTTATCCTAAAAACGATGACAAGAACTTAAAGGTTGTTTCAAAATGTTTTGAAATATTTACAAAAGTTTTTATTTTCTTTGCTTTTTTTATTTTTTATTTTCCAGAGACAGTGAGAAACGGTTCCTCTAAAGATTTTCCAGTTTCTCTGGTTTGGTTTATTTTCATTTATTTTAAGTCTGTTATTTTGTGAACTATATTTACTTGCATGAAGTAAAAAAAAAAAAAAAAAAAATCCCTTGTAATAAAACACAAACACAATAGTACACCATGAAAAAAACACAATAGTAAAAGCTAAAGTGCAAAGTCTAAAGAATATAACAAACATGATAAAAGTAAAAAAATACAAGCAAACTTTGTTGAAGGATCTTATAATTTGCTATAAAAATTATAAATATTGCATTTAATTTAATTGTTTTATACTGTCTGATTTAGAACCCTATTTCTAAGAAATTTCAAAAAGAAAATAAAAAATGATGTTGATGAAGCAATATAACAAATAATAACACAAGACTATTTTATTATAATTGTGAAAAACTTTTCATTTCTAATCTTTTTTCACTCCTTCTGTTTTTTCTTTCTTCGTCTTTTCACAGATGAAACATAATTAGCTTAAATGATTCCTGTTAACCTCACATTAAGAAGTCGTTCATATGACGTGCAGCATGAAAACTAAATGAGGAAGCCTGAAGAGTCCAGCCCTGCAGCATCGTGTTCTTATCAGTGCCACATTCAGTCATCTGGACCAAAAAATAAAAATAAACAAAGCAGGATATCGAAAAGGCTTTCCTGGACCGGACCCCTCCAGCAGAACCGAAGCATGCTCCATGGCGAGGCAGACTCCAGATGAAGGGTCCTGGTGTTTTAAAGCTGACTGAGCGACTGGGAACCGGTCTCCCTCGTTTTCTTCTCGGCTCCGTCTGTGTTTTCATCTGGAGACAAACGAAGAACTTTCCTGCAGATGTTCTTGAAGACCGGACTGGAGAAGTAGTAGACCAAAGGATCCAGGGCGCTGTTTAGGTAGGTGAGGGTGATGACGACGTAGAAGGTGATGGCCAGCTCCTCTGATGCACGACACACCTGGGTGGCAGAGGAGGCCTTTTTGGACCTGATCCAGATGATCAGTAGTGTGATGTTGCTGGGAAGGAAGCAAATGAAGAAGATAACCACAACAACGGTGATGAAGTACAGAGCTTTGCGGATCTTTGCGTTCTGAGCCAGCTGTCTCCTCCTCAGCTGGACCACGATGTGGACTGTGCAATAAAGGATTACCAGCAACGGGATGAAGAAGGAGCACAGGAACATAAACTCATGCCAGGTCAGACCGTGTTGGGGGTCCACATCCGTGTTGAAGCTCTCACAGTAGGTGGTGTTTCTGTGCTGCAAAGCAAAGATGGGAGCATCCACCAAGATGGTGATGAACCATATTCCCAGTGCTCCTACAGAAGCCTTCTTCACGCTCAGAGAGTTGAAGGGATGATGAGGATGCACCACATGCATGTACCTGTCCACAGCGATGATCATCAGGAAGAAGGTGCTTCCACTGCGGTTCATAGCCAGCATGAAGAGGCAGGCGTTGCAGCCCGTCAGGCCAAACTTCCAGTTCAGACCAGAGAAATAGTAGCTGGCACGCAGCGGCAGAGCCACGTTGAGCAGGAAATCAGCCATGGCCAAGTTGAAGAGGAAGACCGTGCTGCTTTTCCAGGGCCTCAGGTGGAAGCAGAAGATCCACAGAGCCAGCCCATTCCCCACGAATCCAAAAGCAAACTCTGTGAGGATCACAGGAGGCAGCACACTGATCAGAATGGTTCCGTTCACGTTGCAGAGCATGTTGAGAGAGAACTCACCATCTGCAGAAACAACCCAGAAAAGTCCCTTTAAAGAGCGCCTGCAGTCACACCTCTAGAAAAAGGGTTGATCTGCGGTTTTAGTTTTCAGGAAGCTGCAAACTTCTTCCTTTTCAGTGTAACCAAAACACATCCTATATCTCATCCTGAAACCTTTAAGAGATTTCCTCCTTGATCAGCACAGCTAGCCTTTTCATTACAGAACCATGTTTGCACCGCTTCACAGCTTTAGGGAAGAATAAACCTGCCTCTGTCTAAGAAAAGCATCATGGACAGATACAGAAGGATCGCAGCAGCGAACCAAACACATAACCGCAAAGAGGAAGAACACCAGCAATAATCCTAGAAGCAACTGTTGCTCCTGTCAATCTGGAAGGAGTTACTTAATTTCAATTCAAAACTACTTTATTAAATTAAATGCTGCAGTAACTCATAGTTTTTTTTTTTTTTTTTTTTTTTATGCGTTTTACACTCTAAAAACAAGGTCATAACTGAAGCCAAACTGGGTTATTTCCAGCCAAGCCACAACCCTATTGTAGCACCGGCCTAGCAGTAATTGATCTGACCAAGAAAAATGAGCTGGTCTTTTATAACCCAATAAATGGCTATAATACTCTACTCAAATTCTGGGTCAAATTAACAGATAAATTGGACAAATTCAATCACACATATGTGTTATTTCCTCTGCTTAACACCTGGTTCAAACTAATATTACTTCTAGGTTATTTGGACTTCATAATTAGTTTTTTTTTTCCCTCTACCCAAATCCTTAGTCAAATTAAACACAGTTATTGGTTGTTTCACCAGCTACATATGTTTAGCAATCTTTCTAAATGCTTCATAAATTGTCCAATACCAAAGATTAGTTCTAACATATTACAGTACAATCATAAGGAAAAGAAATCACTAGACTACTAGTATCTATAATACAAATTAGGCTAGAATATATGCTAGATTTTTGCTTGCAAAGCAGAAATTATGCAATAAACAGGATACTGGAATCCTGACAAGCAACCATCGTGAAATCTATTAATATCCACAATACAAAAAGGAAGCAGGCAAGTTAATTATAGAACAGTTTAAATTAGGGTCATTAAAAAAACTGCCAGTTGATCATTTCACAGTGTCAGAGCGTAGTGGTGAGGTCTGGATCCCTGAGGACCAAATGACTGTTTTGAGATAAAGACCAGTAACATGAGCTAAAGAGACACTTTAATTTAAACCATTTGAAAGAAAGGAAATTGTAAGGAAGGGGAACCTTAAAATAAACCAGATCACACACCCATGCAAATTATTAATCATTTTAATTTGATAATTCAGTTACACCCACATGATAGAACAGAAAACTTTGTTTCGTTAGCCCAACCGACCAACTAGCCTTGACAATAAAGCACATTATTATAATTTAAACAACACAGACACTTTTAATTAGATGGTGTGCACAAGCCTTATAATGATAACTTTCCTCAAAGATGGTCATTGAGGTGCTCTAAATGCTAATGGTGGATAGAGCATGCAGCCTGGATCAGTCATGGGCGTGGTGTGTTTCCATTAGGGATGGGACGATTTATGAAAACCGTCAGAACTGTTCGGTTCGACTGTCTCGGTTCGGTTCGCGTGTGTTTCGTTCGGTTCATGCGCTGCTCCTTTTTCTCATAGGCGTAGCGATTACACTCCAGAGCACAAGGTGGCGGTACTGCGACCAAAGCCAACTACCAGTAGTAAACAAGAAGAAGAAGAAGCGAAGCAGCTTAGCCGGGTGTAGCAGGGAAAAAAATCAGTTGTTGCGGAGAATTGTGTCGGAATGGCGAGTTGGAAAGAACAGGAGTTGGAAGACGCGCCAGCAGCACTTTATAGGTCTGCTGTATGGGAGCGCTTTGCATTTAGAGTGACCTACGATGACGGCGGAAAGAAAGTTGTGGATAAAAGTGCAACAGTGTGCGAGCATTGTGCAACACGTTTTGTTTACGCTAACAGCAACATGACCAACATGTCATGCTAACCCCAAAATCCCTCATACTCCGTCAGCAACTCCCGCTCCGCCCCGCTGCGCTCCAGACCGGCTGCTCAAAGCAAATCATACAGCCCCCACTGTAGCTCCCTCCGTCTGCTCCGCTCTGAGTTCCTTGGAGATGGTAGAGCGCATGCGCGAGATGATTAAATTCAAAGCAGCAAAACATATGAAATGATCAAGGGTTTCCGCGGATCATTTAAAATAATTACAATCCATTATTTTTTGGGGGATTTTTTCATTCCATAAATTTTTATGGGATTTCGGTGTAACAATCAACATGTATCGAACCGAACCGAAAACCGTGACCAGAAACCGTGAATCGAACTGAACCGTGGATTTTGTGAACCGTTCCACCCCTAGTTTCCATGTAGAGCAACCAGGTGCTGGGTCATCCAATGGATGTTGCATTGGTGCATTTTGACCCAGACCATGGACTGCACAAAAAAAACACCCCAATCCCATGAAAAAATCTGTCAGGATTCTGTCCTCTGCTTGCTTTTATTTTAGGTTTCTTAGTGTTATGTGTCTTTGTAGTTCTACCAGTACTGACTTCTTTAGTTTTTGTGCTGCTCTCTGTTGCCCTCTTGTGTTAATTTGCTTCTTCCCTGGTCACTTCTTGTTACTCCACTCACACCTGCTCCCTATCTGCTGATTTGTTTGTCTAGGTTTGGTCTCCCAATATATACCTCAGCTCTGCAGTCACTAAGGCTACGTTCACACTGCAGGCCTTGATGCTCAATTCCGATTTTTTTGTGAAATACGATTTTTTTTTGCGTTGCCGTTCACATTTCTATGACTTCTATGTGATCTCCTGTGTGAACTGCAGTCATACAACCCCAGTGTCTCGCATGCGCAGTAGAGGACGCGATGACATCACAGGCCAGTGTGCTCCATGTTTACGGAAGTGTAGTGCCGGCGCGCATCTAGTGGTCTTTGCCAACCATAAAAACACAATCTTTTCAATATGTTTAAACATAAATACTGCTCTCCGCATCATCATCTGCTATGGTTGTTGTTTTTCTTGCCGCTTCTGCATAGCACTATGCAAAATAGTGACCTTTGTCGGGTATTAATGACGTTCAGGTTGGATGAATGCGACCTGGCCGTTCAGACACAGGTGGCATTTGAAAAGATCAGATTCAGGACCACATAGCCAAGTGGCCTGGGTCGGATTGGAAAAAATCGGATCTGTGTTGTTCAGACTGCCATGAAAAGATCAGATCCAAGTCGCATATGGGCACAAAAATCGGATTTGGGTCACTTCAGGCTGCAGTGTGAACGTAGCCTTAGTGCTGGTTTGTTGTGTTTTGTTGTTTCTCTGGTCTCTTGCTGCCTATGTGAGTTTTCCCAGATGTTTTTGTTTTCTTTGGGTTCTTTGTATTTTTGCTTCTGTGGATTTTTCCTCAGTCGCTCCATTAAATCTACAAAATTCACCACTGCCTCCCTGCCTCTGCATTTGGTTCCTCAAAAACTCAACCCAACCGTGACAATAACCCAACTTACCTAAATATAACTCCTAATGGGTGAAGGATTTCATAACACAGCGTTTGGTCAGATAAAGTAACGCAGCATTCTTTTGAGTGCTGTAGGAAGGAAAGATCTTCTGTAGCAGTCTGTCTTCCACCAGTTCTGGGAATGCCTCTGACTGAAGACAATGTTGGCGTTTAACCCTTTAAAGGCCGATCCAAGAATAAAACAAAACAGAAAATTACTTTTTTTTTGGTTTGAAGTCCTTATTTGGCCTTTTAACAAAATATGTAAAAAGAAAAAACAGAAATACATTTTTGATATTAATAATTTATTACTATGCGATAAGTCAAGATTATTTTTTGTGTAGTCTTCTGCCCTCTGTTATCAGGTATATCTGATTGTGTACAATAGGATTTTGAGCAAAGTTTTTATCATTAAAATATGCAAAAGGTGTCAGACGCAAAACATTTCAGAAACCATATGCATCAAATATGATACATTTGGCATTAAGGGGGTTAAAAGTCAAGACAGTCGCAAACATTCAGGGTTTTCATTTCTGCTATTTCCAACTCCTAGTGATACGACACATAGCAAACTGCATTGATACTGAGTGGATACTGTGTCACTCAATACTGACACCTACAGGAACTTTCAAATCCCTACATGCAGCCTACTTGACAGACTAAACCAGAGGTCACGGATTAGCGGACCGCGGTCCGATTCCAGATGTATCTGCTGGCGAATCCAGACCCAACCTGATTTAAAACATTTATAAATTACCGCATGTTGTCCGATGACAATGTCTAACTTCACTTTCGCCGCTTCTCCTGTTAAATATGGTAAAGCCCTCCTGTGTGCGACTAGGCTGCACGTGATACAAATTAGCCAATGAGCTGTTAGTCTGAGTTGCTGCTGCTGCTACTTTTAGACACAGCAGGCAAACCTGTGGCAAGCCGGGTGATTGGAAAAAAAGAAGAAGATGATGAGAAAAAGAGAGCAGAGAAAGTGTGGACTGCTGGAAGAACCGCGGTGAACTGGTGAAAGAAAAGTAAACTGGTGTGCTCAGAGATCAACCTGCACATTTTAGGTATGTTTGGCTCAACCTGCTGCTGTGAAGCTGGATTCTCCACCATGAACATAATAAAAAATAAATATGCATCCAGGCTCACGAATGAGCACCTTGATATGTGCTTGAGAATGGCTTTGTCGGCATTTTGCAGGGCAGCATAAAGCCCACTTCTCTTATTAAGCCAATAAAAAGAAAACAAAACAGTTCAGGTGGCTCATGAAAGATGTGAATCAGGAAACTGTCTATATGACAAACTGATCAATGGTTGTTCTCTACTTCAAAAAACACTATAGATTTTAAAAAGGAAAAGTTTTCTATTTTTTTAACTATATTTTTAAAATAAAAATTCAGTGTATAACATGGATGCATGAAAAACTCATTGTATTTCAGTGTTAAATTCTTTTTAAAGTAACAGAATATAATAAAAGTGTCTCCGGACCTTTACTGGGTGTTCATTTTCTTTATTCGGACCACGCTGATTTTTAATTGGTTACCCCTGGACTACCGTAAACTGACATTGATTTGATGACCT